CTCGGAATACAGCGAGGAAGACATTACGATTATCTGTCCCCTAAACCGTGTGCTGAGCATTTGTTTTAAAATCGTGCTACAGTGAGGACGAGTCCTCGTTTTCTGAGTTTACAGCCTGAAAACTTCAGAAACTTTATAATGCCCACTTGCTCCGGCTGTTGGGTACTGCACGGGTGCCTGCATTTGATTATAGAACAGTATATATTTACTATATGCCGCATGCAGTGAAATCAATAAAAGTAACATTTCATTAATCTTGACACGCTGCCTCTGCTTGATGCCAGATACTGGGGACACAATCTGTCGAAACAACAGACATTCTCCTCAGTGCGTACTCTCCCCTTTCCCCATTCTTTCTTTGTTTGCACTTTCAAAGCCGACATTACATCTGTCATCAAGATATGATTTACATAAACATCAAGCCTTTTTTTTTAAACTATCTGTCACCAAAACTCTGGGGACTTGCAAAATATTAGCATTTCAAGGTTGCATTTAGACTATGGCCGTGTCTGTTTTGCATATGCTATTTTTGTGCTACTTTAATTTAAACTCTGACCAAAGCCACTGCATTGAGCGTGTAGTCAAGAAAATTACTCAGTCATTAAATAGCAACATCAGTTGTCGGTGCAGTTATGAAAACAGACCTTAAGTAGGAGATAGGAGCAGTCCATAACTAGCATATTTTGCACAAGAAACACACCTTACGCTATCCAGCTTGTGATAAGAAAATCAATTCTAAAAAAGAAACACAAACAGGAATTTCAATTTACTTCCCTCAGCAACTGAACGCAATCACATCTCAGAATGGAAATTACACTTTGAACAAGTGCATGGCTATTTTATGGATTACTTCTGTCACTGATTGTACATCTCTCATGTAGCCTGACATCTTCTGCATGATGGAACAGATGTTAATGAAAACCATATGGAATTTTTTTTCTCGTGTCTACAGCATGTAATTTTAAGTGTATTCTGGTTGTGCTTTTTGTGTTGACACCTGCAAACGTGTTTGTGTCACTTGTATGTGAAGTGTCACTTTTGAAGAAAAATAAAGTGGCACTTTTGAAGGCATTTGCATGATTAGCTGTTGGTGCTAACAGACTAGCTGGACTGGAATTACATTTGCAGACAGTGGCAGATGAGCAGCTTGATGGGAGGAAATCACTACAGAATAAATATCTTGAGGAATACAAAAGAAAGTTTGTTATTGGTCATCTGGTTTGTTTCACCCAGATCAAATAACGTGTTTTTTCTGTCAGAAATTGCAGCACAACGTTTGGAGAATCAAGCAACATGAGTGATGGAGACATGTGCCTACAATATGTGCACTGAAGAACTTATATCTTCAATAACATACATCAGGAACTGTACACATCAATATTGCCTTTATATGTGGTATTCTTACTTTGCTGCATTGCAGAGATCAATACTCTATGAATTTTTAAGCACATCTTCGCTTTGGGTATAGACTGTAACCCATGGCACTGACAATCTCATTTGTGCCTCGAGTCCTCTCCAGAACTCTGCACCAAGTTCTCAGCGATAAAATTATCAGGACAAGATGTGAGCACTGATGTTTGGTGTGCAAAGTATCATGGGAATTACAAATATTTAAATCAGTGAAGTTTTTGTTCATTTGAAAATGAAGAGTTTTTCGTATTGCTTCAAACAAAAACAACTGCAGATAGAAAAAAAATGCTACAGATAGAGCCCTAACTGGCTTTCCCAAACTCCAGCTTTCTCAAATTCGAGTTTTATTAAACAATTTTCTGATCAACACTTAAATACAGTATTTTTCTTTTTCTTTTTTTATTTAACCAACATTCTTAAAGTAAAGAGGACGATATTTAATGCAGAACTGACATCTGCGAACTGTGTCTAAAATATACTTTATAATGTACTACATGTCATTTTGAAGTAAACAAAAGCTTAAACGACAACTACTTCTCTCTTATAAATTTACTTCAATATGTCACAGCAGCACAGATCTGCATAATAACTTTTCACAGTTGCCAGGGTGAGTTGACCTAAAGTGTGGATTTTTAAAACCAAGCAGACACCGCAATGCAGGCAAGAATTGTCAAAATGTCATGGCAATTGCAGTGCAACAGTAACCACCTTCTAACAATGTGTATCTAACTAAGTATTTATGAGCTGTATTATAAAAACAACCATTATCTTGTCAGACCTATACTGGATTAAGGGTGAGTGCACTGATTTTTTTTTTGTTTGTTTTAAATGTTCTTTCAGTCAATTTATCCTTCTAAATTCATAAAGGTATTTTGACCTTTGACCCTATTTTTTTCTTTGTTTGTATTTTTTTTTTCAAATGAGAGGCCGTATTCCTTTTCAACATGACTACATTGAAAACCATTGAACTGTGAACAAATGCATTAAACTGCAGTCGCATTTATCTTTAGAATTGTTATGTACATTTTAAACAAGTCAAGTTCGATTGAATTAGTCATTTAAAATAAGATTTAGCTGCTGCAACCGTCCATAGAAAAGGCCTCAAGGTTTCTCTAGGCTATTGGCAATGAATTTCTCCTTTGTCTTGAAACCAAGGACAAAAGCTTTTTGTTCATGATTTCAAAAGTTATGAGAAGAAAATGAGTACGGAAATAAGTCAACTATAATTTAGACAAAGTTCCCATGATACAAACTTTTAAATGTATGTAAAAAGGTCTAGGTATAAAAATAAATAAAACTTCTTTAAATGTATGTAAAAAGTTCTAGGTATAAAAATAAATAAAACTTCTAGGTTTCCCTAGGGGGAATCTAGGGTGTAATACTTAAATGACATTTAGAGGAAAAAAACATATTGTCAAAAAATTAGATTATTGTTTTGATAAAACATTACGTTTTCTCTAAGTTCTCCTGTTATCCATCCTCATGTTAGAAAGTAGTCTGGGGACACTGGATTAAATTAGAGGAGGAAGGAGTAAAAACCAGCTCTCAGAATTTGATGCAGTCGGAATTATCTGCAACACATGATTTCCTTATCATCGGCTCAACCTTTCTCAAGTTTCTTCGGAAGAGAAAAGTAATACATGTCGGAATGGGCTGGACTGTAATCCCTGCAGATACAGTGAATCTACATTGGCAAAGGGACAATCGTAATGATATTCACCTATAATCTCCCTTGACAGATTCAGGACATGCTTTTCATTAACACAAAAGTGGGCGCAATAGACAGTGTTTCAGAGTTTACCTAAATCCGTTAAAGCTAACTCCGATTCACAGTCTGGTGTCGTCTGTCTCTGTCTGCTCAAGCCCAGGCCAAAGCAGGCACCGTGTATTTACAGAGCGCTTGGACATAGTTTTTCCAGTGGTATTCTTAAGGTGCAACCACAAACAAAAGCGGGCACAAATTCAATTTCACAGGTTTCCAGGCGAACTTGAACTATGTCCAGTGTTGTTAGAGACAAAGAAAAAACAAGGCCAAGCCTTTTTATTGGTTGTTAGTGACTTACTAAAGATGAATTAATGACAGAAAATATTTTTATGTGTGCACAGGTGAGGTGTTAATTTCCCGAGTATCGGTATAAAAACGATGATGGTGATCTCATCAGATTATGATTTAATCTAGTTTAATTAAAATGCACAAGCCCAAGCTGTGCAGAAGACATACCTAAATGTCTACCTTGTTCACAACTCTCTTTGAAAAAAAAATATCAGATTGTGCTGCCCATCTGTTTTTTCTGCTTTTTTTTTTCAAAGAAAAACTAGTTGTCCTTTTAAATTGGCTTCAAAATGCTTCTTTTTGACAAGATCACTAGATCCTGAAAAGAAAGTTGGGAGAGGAAGGGTAGCCCCTATTTTTCTTGTTAATTACCTTCATCTGAGGAATTATCCAGCATTAATATAATGGCTCGATTCATCTCCCTCACCATCTGGTGTGAGAACGATGCCCCTCTGGAGGTGATTGCTTTCCCCAAGTGCTGCGTGAAAGGAAATAGGATGTTCAAAGGCTGGTCTGGGCTCGGACAGCTGAGCTGAGGTGCGGCAAAGCAGCTGGCCTCGTCACCATCACCTGCTGCTGCGAGTCAGACTACTTTCAAACATGATCCATCCATGCCCTAAGTGTCTGTACATATACAAGCTAACGTATACATGTTTGTAATCGTTAACATGTGCGATGTAGAGTCATAGCTAAACACAGCAGAGACGCATCCTCTCTGAAAAAATTTAGAAGAGAGAGAGCGGTAGACAGGGAGTGATGGTATAATTATAGGTCTCAGAAACATCTGGGCGAGGGGCAACAGGTGACGCATGAGCAGCAGTGTCTTGAAATGACACCAGCGAGTCAGCTGCTTTGCATTTATGTCCTGCATGTCAAACGCCATCGGCTAGAACACATATAATTTGCTCTTTAGTTTTCTAGTAAATTGTGCACTGACACGTCTCTTGATAGTATAATCAAACATTTGACATGTTTAACAACATATTTTTTCCCCATGTCATTGTCACTCAAGTCTCACTTCAAATACTCGTCAAAGTGACAGGGCTTCATTTGACAGTTTGACAACATCTGCTTTACACCGAGTCCTCCAAGCCTGTCCCACTGTGCTCTGCGCTCAGACTGTCTCTGCATCACTGACATCTGTTGACTGTCTGACCTCCTTTTGGTCAACAAACTTGGGAGTGCATACATCCAGCTTTTCTGGCTCCCTGACACAACACTGAATGTCACAACAAAAACAACTGACCACTTGTCGTTTGCTTACTAGGTTTCCTTCAAAGTTCTTAAACCCAAATGTACATGACAGCATTTCAGAGCTCCTGAGTGGAGTGGAAAACACAACTGGCATTGAGGCAATCTTAGTGAGAAGAGTTTCAGAGGACCCCATTGATTCCAGCGCTCAATTTTACCAATGACTGTTCTCAAATACTGCTTCACACTGCCTGTGTCTCCGCTGGTGCAACACAATCAAGAACCTGAACTGCAATAAGACACTATATTCCAACAAAGCATTTTATATAACATTAAAGACTCTTACCTTGGATGCACTGCCAAACTCCCGTGCGAAACCTGAAATAAAAAAAATGTCAGTGGGTCTTTATAGAGGTCAAAATTAATTATTAACTTTTCAATAGGGACGTCAGGATACATCGGAACTACGTTAAAAATCGATACAAATTAGTGAAAATTCACATCGGTTGAACTGTACTTGAAACCCACTTGAATATGGAAGAATGTTTGCCTGGTAACTACACACTGGCGATGCAATAAACAGGAGTGGCTGAAAACCAAATGTGTGGAAAAGAGGTGCAGATACTGGCTAGGGACTGCATTTGACATAACAACTGAATAGATGCAGACTGTGACAACAGCAACCTATAAAACTATGAAATAAAATCTTTTCATGGTGCATCAAATGTTTGTTTTTTTCTTCTGTACACTGGTTTAAAAAGCCGATTATTTTAGTACACCCCGCTGACAACAACTAATATCATGGTCAGAGTTATGCATTTTTATACGTTTTTTTTCCTGGTAGTAATTCTTAAATAAAACATTAAGCATGTCTTGTACTGGGTCAGAATGTGAATAATGGATTACTTTTACCAACTCTTACTATCATAGACGTGACCTGAAAAAGTGAGCCAAAGATTAGCGAATAAAACAATGGCATTCCAAAACTATTGTATCCGAGTTGCGCACTTGTGTTAAACCCAATAAACAAAAAGAAATAATGAAAACAGGTACGTGAGGTCTCCTTACTTTAACACATTTATCATGAACATGTTTGTAAACAAGTAGTAATACAAACTCTGACCTGGTCGTCTGCACAGAAGACGCGGAAATCGTCTTGAACGAGCAGCAACTCGCGAGTAGTCCGTTTTTAAATCTTTCTTTTCTCTTTCTCAACAAAGTTCCGTGACCATCCTAAGAATGCACACAAACATTCTCTCATAACACACTCAATTCTGTCGAAACTAGTCACAAAACACTCCATGTATCACGTGTGCTGGAAGACTAGAGCAGTAAATAAAAGATCACTAGATCAAGGCTGTTCTGTCGATAATACGTGCAGTCGGAATCTAACACGAACACATCGAACAATTAGTTTTACGTACCTTACGTATGCAGATCCTCTAACTAACGGCTAATGATACTTCCTCCTCAGCACAGAAGTCAGTTTCTTTTTGTTTCATCTCCAGCACAGACTATGACACCAGATTTTCCACAGAATAGTACATGAAAAGTAAGTCAAGCACAGGGTTTTGATTTACCACAAGCTTTTGATTCATCTGAACAATTTAGTTATTTAGAGTTATAAAAATAAAAATAGCCTTTTTTCCCCTCACTGTAGTATTTTTTTAAGAAACTCTAATATATTTGGTTTGAACTACTGCCCTTCAAATTAAAGACCACATGAATAACAATAGTAAAAAAATGTCTGTATTGTATATTTTGAGGGGGGGAGTGTTTTTGGTTTTTGTTTTTTTGTTCTAGTAGAAAACATCCTGTATCTGTTTTTGAATCCATAACATTTAAATGTTGGTTACTGGTGTAATACACACTAAACAAACTCACCTTTAAAGTTAGCATCATGGGTTTAAGAGGCCAAATCTTCCCACTTTTCCCCTTGCTGTTGGAAATTAGAACTGTTGCACAAAATGTTTTTAAAATAAATAAATAAATAAGATACTGTTATTTACTGTTACTGTTAAGCTACTTATTAGTCACGTTTTCAAAAGAGTTACTGCCATTGTTTTGGTGATAAAAGCAAACTAACAGTGCTACAGAAAATGTTATCAGAGGCAAAAGAGCGTGCGCTCCTTTTCACAGATGAATGTTCTGCTGTGAACTGTAACCCCGTCTAAAGAATAATCGTTGATTATATTGCAGGCCACTGATCTGTGCCAGTTTTAATCAGCCACAACAAATACTCGTAATAAACAAACTGAGAAAACATGTTCTATAAATGAAGACACATTAACTCTGTGTCTGTTTAGAGCAGTGGGGGTAATAGACAGTATCCTATCTAACACTTGAGCAGTTTATGGCTTCTAATAGGCACCCTGTCGGATTGAATTGTAAATATGGAGCACGGTCGTACGTTCAGAGGTGTGTTTATCCTTTGCTTCATTTGCCCGATGCAGAGTCACGACCAACCTGTTTATTACACCTCACAATCCTCAATTAGAATGAAAAGAGAGACTCGCAGGGAAAAGGCCATTTATCCGAGCCCGAGCTGCACTTACACACCACACACAAATTTCACTCTTGCTTAAAATCTTTCCATGCATGGAGCACATTATCATTTGATTTCCATCCAGGGTTCTCAATTAAAATTATACAGAGGTTGCATTTCATTACCTGAGCTGGGGGCAATTTGCGGGCCATTAAGCCTGTACCTGTATCAGTGGAGATGTTTTGGAGGTGAACATCTGGGGTTGAGGAGGCAGAGCATGAAATGAAATACCCTGGTTCTCTGGCCCTTTGTCCACAGAAGCCAAAGGTATTAGAAAGCCATGCATAGTAAAGAGTGCACTTCTGCAGGCGGCTACAAATTAGTCTGGAAAACGAACGGAAATAGAAAATTGACCATGAATCTTGGAAACTAAAATTGTCCTCAGTGCATGAAATAGTCCTCCAATTCTATTTTTTATGTTTTCATTACTATTTTCATTATCATTGGAGCTGTCAAAATGAACATGTAAATCATGTTAATGAATTTGTGAAATTGTTCAGTTAAAAAGTATGCTGTTAATGTATTTACAATAACTTGGCCACTAATCGACTTATTCTTGATCTAATACACAAACGATTTGCACATAATCTGCTGAAAACATTTTGTTGACATTTTTTTTTTCAAATTAACAATTCCATTATTTGGAATAGTCACAATAAAAAAATGATGTCCAATATTAACTTTTTGCCAATATCTGATATGCCGATACTGTCCAAACATTTAATTTCCAATACCGCTATCAACCGATATCAATATATGAAGCCGTTTGATCCCAAACAGAGGTAAATGTCTCTTCCAGCAAATTTCCAGCAAATTTGGTAAAACCCATGCACTGACTGATCGGATTTTCATTATCGGAGGAAAAACCTGATTATGATCTTACATAATTATGCTAATATCGGCTGACCAATAATATCGGACATCCTTATTAATTACTAAAACGGTTAATCATGTTTAATCCCAAGCTACCTTACAATTTATCAGATAAAAACAATTGAATTGTTTTGCAGCCATTGTTTTTATATTAAAATGATGAGATGCTGCAGCAGCAGTATGAATTTGGCTGGCGACACCTTTAGACTCAACCTGTCACCATTGAACACATCGAAACCTGAAGACCTGTAAAAATGCAAAGTGTTCCTTGTTGAATTCGCCCTATGGGATCGAGATTTGCAATAAAACTGTAATTGATTTCTGTCCTATGCAATAATAAAGACTTCTCAAGAAGCAACTACTCTTGTGAGACCTTTTAAAGATCCGGCCTCATTACACCTTGGATCTTTCTCTGGTGATCTAAATCGTAATTTAAAATGCAAACTGCAATTATGTTTCCTAATGATATAATCTAATAAAATCTGCAGCTTTGGATGATTATTCTCCAGGAATGGATGTTCCTTTTTTTGTTTTGTTTTTTTGTTTGTTTTTTGTTTTTAGTTTGATTGTAAAAGATTGTATGATCCTAAAATTGTTTTTATTGTTTCATGTTGATACATGACAGAGATCTCTGGTATTTCTAGTGAATTAAATTACCTTTGCATTCTGACTGTTTGAGTTTATTAATTACTAAAATAAAGAATCAGAAAAAATAAACAGTAATGTGAATATTTCTGTCCATCTGTTGCATCATCACGCCCCTATTATATTTGTACAGTCTCATGTATGGATAATTAACTTGCTCCCTGTATGCAGAGACAGCACGTCTATGCAAAGAGCTGCCCTACTGTACTCGCACCGCTCTTTAATCTTCTCTACTTGAAAGAAGTGAAAAGAATAAAGAGCCAGTCTTGTATTTTTCATGATAGAAAATCAGGGGGGGAAAATGATCAAAACCCATAGAAAAGCCCACACTTTGGTGTGTCTCCTTTCAGCCCCCTGTGAATAATAGCATTTCTTTGTTAGGGATTACAGGTCGATGCTACGGGGTGTTCCAAATAACTTTGCTTTTTTGTGACAGCTTGAAATGGTTTTTATTCTGTCAAATAAGTGCAGCTTCGCCGTCTGAGTCATGCAGTGAACACTCGAGGATCACTTTCCTCAATGCAAGGCAGCTGCGTGAAGAGAGTCCCGGCAAAAAGTAACTCCTCGTTTCTGTTATCCTTCTCTAACAGTATGAGGAAGTCACTGGAGATTTGTGTGGGACAAGTTGTATTCCAGATGATATGCAGTAATCAGGCCCTTTGAGTCTGTCTGTCTCTCTCTCTCGCCTCCCCCCCCCCCCCCCCCTCATCTCTTCTTCCCCCACCCCTCCCCCTTTTCTCTCTCCCCCTCACTAGTGAGCACTCAAGTTTTGCAGTGTTTCAGCATTACATCATTGCACATGGCACACCATTAAGCCTTTTGCAAACCGGGAAGACAGCCCAGGCTTTCAGACTTGTCTTAGCACGGTGCTCCATTTTTACACACTGAACAGATGAATCACATGCTAAACAAACTGTCTTTGAGCGCGCAAAGATACAGTAATTAAAGCAATTCTCTATCTTCCACCCCTTCTTTTTAAAGCAGATACGACTGAAGTCACAGTGTTTTGGCAGGTGTCACATTGTGGCCTGATTGTGTCATAAGTGACAAAAACATTTGTTCTGCCATGGACATGTCCTACATCCATCTATCTCTCCATCTGCCCATATGACATTCCATCGAGGTACGATGTCATGGCGACGCTTAGTTATGCAGTGGAATTTATTGTCTGCACTGCGGCAGATTACCATTGCTTAACATGCCACACAGGAGACTTAAAGAGGCAGCACCTTTCCGAGTGTTGCATCCTGCTGGCAACTATGTTGGAAAGCCTGCGGCGTGCTGGGAAGTCTGGTCTTTATGCATATTTTTCTGTCTTCTGAAGGACACAAAGCGTGAGGGTATCTGTGCAAAAGGGAGAGACGGCAGAATGGAGGGACTGATCTTTGAGGATTCTTTAGATATTTGGTCTTTATTCCGTTCATTTATGGCTTTCTGCTGCTTTAATTTTCCAACACTGGATATGGCATTTTCACACACCTTCTTTGAATAATGCAAGCCTATGTTTGTTTGTTTTCTTTTGTAAATTCTGGCACATGCAGTGAATATTTACTCAGCTGATACCTTTTGTATTGATCATATGTTGACAAGCTATTTAGAAGATAAATGTCTGGTGTGTAATTCACTCCGTAGGTGATCCCAGTACATTCATCAACGCTCCTTATGACGACAAAATATAGTTTCAACTGCATAACCATAAACCCTAGCACATTTAACAAGGATATCAGCAGCCTTGTGATTTTGTAGGGGAAATCTTTAACCCACCAAGGGCTATGTAACATTAGACTTAGGCTACTCCAAGTACAAGAGATTTCCCTGCAAAACAATGTAGTAAGATGTAAAATCATTTTTGAAGTTGTTATCTGCATGAATACACTATCAGATCCAGGCAGCAGGGTATGGCAGGATAAGAGCAGTTCAGCTTTCGTCCACCGTGGGCAATCCTCCTGGCGATATGACTTCTTTGTGGGTTTTCCCTGTAAGATGTTGATTGCCTAGGGTGAAGCAAGAAACAAAATGTTTTAAAAATTGATTAAATCAACCCTGGTGTGTCTCCCCCCTCAGATCCCATCTGTAGGTAGTTATAGACTATGCCCCAGAGCGAAAACTCTGAATCTGAAGTGTAGCAGTTTTACAATTGAACCTGCTTTACAGCTTTTAATTTTGTTTCACATTAGCTGTTATTTCCTCAGTGCATATGTTTCATCTGCACTCACTAATTAAAAATAAGTTCGACCTAACCTATCTGGGGTGTTTAATTAAGATACATGAAAAAGTGATGCAGTGATTAAACCAAGTGGCCCGTACCTTATGACCCTCTAATCACCAGTGTCAGGCAGATGTTTTTTGGGGAGAAACCCTTGGCTTACTCTGCATCATTAACAAAGTACAAGGTAATTGAATTACTTTGGAGCATTTAGTAATTAGAACAGTGTTTGGTTTTTGGTTTGTTTTTTGTTTTTTGTTTTTTGCAAATGATTTCCTCAAAACTTGACATACTTCAATTAAACCCAAATAAAACCAAAGTCTGACATTTAGCAAAGCACTTGAATCAAC